CCATACTATTTACATGGTTTCGTGCCCCTCCCATCCCTCCAGGGAGGCCCCGCCTGAGCGAGGAGGGTATCGGAAACCCATACTATTTACATGGTTTCGTGCCCTTCCCACCTCTCCAAGGAGGCCCCGCCTGAGCGAGGAGGGTATCGGAAACCCGTACTAGTTACATGGTTTCGTGCCCTTCCCACCCCTCCAAGGAGGCCCCGCCTGAGCGAGGAGGGTATCGGAAACCCATGCTATTTACATGGTTTCGTGCCCTTCCCACCTCTCCAGGGAGGCCCCGCCTGAGCGAGGAGGGTATCAAGAAACCGTACTATTTACAAGGCTTCGTTTCCTGAGGACCTGTCCTCCCTCCTCCTTTCTTTCGTTTGCCCTTTCGTGCGTACGTACTCGTTCGATGAGCTTCTCTCCTTCGTGTTGATGTTGTCGTACCCCATGGGTCCCACGAAACCGTTAATATCTTTATGTGTGGAACTCGGTTAGCATAGTTCCCAGAAAATCCTCTCCTTCTCCCTCCCGCCGCCCGCCTGCCATATCAATACCAAGCCTACCATTCCAACCTCCCATATCATACCATGCCTACCAGTCCATACCATCCCATACTTACCATACCAGACTTACCATACCATACCATACACTACCAAACAATACCATACCATACCACACCTACCATGCCATACCACACCACACCATACCACGCGTACCACACAATACCGAACAATACCATACCATTCCAACCATACTATATAGCATACGTACCATACCATACCATACCATACCACACCACACCATACCACACCTGCCATACAATACCATACCATACCTACCATACAATAGCATACCGACCATACGATACAAAACCATACCACACATACCATACAATACCATACCAAACTACCCATACAATAGCATACCATACATACCTTACCATACCATACCCGCAAGAGCGAGCAGGGTATCGGAGTATCACACTATTTACTAGGTGTCGTGCCCCTCCCGCCCCTCCAGGGAGGCCCCGCCTGAGCGAGGAGGGTATCGGAAACCCCTACAATTTACATGGTTTCGTGCCCCTTACTCCCCTCCAGGAAGGCCCCGCCTGAGCGAGGAGGGTATTCGAAACCAATCCTATTTACATTGTTTCGTCCTCCTCCTACCCCTCCAAGGAAGCCCCGCCTGAGCGAGGAAGGTATCGGAAACCCTATACTATTTACATGGTTTCGTGCCCCTCCCACCCCTCCAGGGAGGCCCCGTCTGAGCGAGGAGGGCATCGGAAACCCATACTGTTTACATGGTTTCGTGCCCCTTCCCACCCCTCCAAGGAGGCCCCGCCTGAGCGAGGAGGGTATCGGAAATCAATACTATTTACAAAATTCTGTGCCCCTCCCACCCCTCCAAAGAGGCCCCGCCTGAGCGAGGAGGGTATCGGAATCCCATATTATTTACATGGTTTCGTGCCCTTCCCATCCCTCCAGGAAGGCCCCGCCTGAGCGAGGAAGGTATCGGAAACCCGCACTGTTTACATGGTTTCGTGCCCCTCCCACCCCTCCAGGGAGGCCCCGCCTGAGCGAGGAGGGTATCGGAACCCAATACTATTTACATGGCTTCGTGCTCCTCCTACCCCTCCAGGGAAGCCCCGCCTGAGCGAGGAGGGTATCGGAACCCACACTATTTAAATGGTTTCGTGCCCCTCCCATCCCTCCAGGGAGGCCCCGCCTGAGCGAGGAGGGTATCGGAAACCCATACTATTTAGATGGTTTCGTGCCCTTCCCACCTCTCCAAGGAGGCCCCGCCTGAGCGAGGAGGGTATCGGAAACCCATACTATTTACATGGTTTCGTGCCCCTCCCACCCCTCCAGGGAGGCCCCGCCTGAGCGAGGAGGGTATCGGAAACCCATGCTATTTACATGGTTTCGTGCCCCTCCCACCCCTCCAGGGAGGCCCCGTCTGAGCGAGGAGGGTATCGGAAACCCACACTATTTAAATGGTTTCGTGCCCCTCCCACTGACATGGGTGAGGAGGAGGGGAGAACATTACCTATCCATCTCACGTCCTACTCCTCCCACTGAGGAGGGTGAGGAGGAGGGGGAGTTCTGCGATGAGGAAGGCTTCATCATGATGATGGTGATGACGATGGTTATGCTGATTTCACGGTTACGATGACGATGGCGATAATGGTGATGGACGATGACGATGGCGATAACGGCGATTATGGTGATGATGCTGATGATGAGGAAGAAGAAGAAGCAGAGGAAGAGAAGGGGGATGTGGAGGAGGAGGAGGAGGAGGAGGAGAAGGAGGAGGAGGAGGAGGAGGAGGAGGAGGAGGGGTACATGCGTGCCAAGTCGATGGTAATCCATACTTCAGGGCCTGCCTTTTAGGGCCCGCCTGAGAAAGACGGCGACGCCGACGCTGCCGACGACGACTACGACACCGACGAGGGCGAAGACAGAGGAGGAGGAGGAGGAGGAGGAGGAGGAGGAGGAGGAGGAGGAGGAGGAGGAGGAGCAGGAGGGGGAGGAGGAGGAAGGACGAGGAAAAAGACACCACACAGACCAACCTCACGAATCGGACCTTGGACGCCTGGGCGACTCACCCGCCCGCCCGACCCTCCTCCTTCTCATGTTCATACTCCTGGTCATCCTCCCGCTGCTGCTCCTGCTGCGGTTCCTGCTGCTGCTCTTTACCATCATCCATCTTATCCTCTTCCTCCTCCTCCTCCTCCAGGAAGATATCGGAAAACAATGCACTTTACACGGTTTCGTGTCCCCCCTCCACTCCTCCGGAGAGGCCGCGCTTGAACGAGGAGGGTCGCGGAAAGCATTACTCTTTACCAGGTTTCGTAGCCCTCCCCCCTTCCAGCAGGGCCCCGCCAGAGCGAGGAGGGTATCAAGAAACCGTACTACTTACACGGCTTCGTTTCCTGAACACCTGTCCTCCCTCCTCCTTTCTTTCGTTTGCCCTTTCGTGCGTACGTACTCGTTCGATGAGCTTCTCTCCTTCGTGTTGATGTTGTCGTACCCCATGGGTCCCACGAAACCGTTAATATCTTTATGTGTGGAACTCGGTTAGCATAGTTCCCAGAACATCCTCTCCTTCTCCCTCCCGCCGCCCGCCTGCCACATCAATACCAAGCCTACCATTCCAACCTCCCATCTCATACCATGCCTACCAGTCCATACCATCCCATACTTACCATACCATACCATACACTACCATAATATCTTTACGTGGGGATCTCCGCTAGCGTTATTTCATTCTCGATGGATTGGGCGCCCGAGTTATCCGGGGTAACTCGGGTCCGGGGTAACTCGGGTTTGGATTCCCGAGAAACGAACCCGAGTTAGCCCTGACCCGAGTTACCCCTGATGACTCGGGGCTCTGAACTAAGGAACGAGGCCCCTTTCTCCCATGAGATCCACCTCGATGTCCGGTGGAAGGCCTCTGGACAACCCGGGGCAAGCTGCCAAGCACTTACGGAACACCGACCCCCTCCCCGGCGAAAGGGGTTCCTTCTTCAGGGCCCATACTTACCATACCAGACCATACACTACCATAATATCTTTACGTGGGGATCTCCGCTAGCGTTAATTTCATTCTCGATGGAGTATCTCTGCGCCCGTGGCTGACCGCACCGCCCCTGCGTTGGCACGAGGCGGCGGGGGCCCCGGCGGGAGCGGGCCCTGGGCCCCCGGGGGCCTTCCCCCCCCGGGGACCGGCGCCTCGCGCCGCGGCGCTCTGCTCGGCGGAAGTGGCCCCAGGACACACCGAGGAATACACACAAATAAAAGGATTCCCCATATTTTCAGGGTTTTCGTCTTCCCCCCACTTCCCATATTTTCCTACATTTTCTAAGGAATCGAGGATTAATTGCGTCTGTGTCTTTTTTTCCCTCCTGATCTGCCAGGCCCTCGAGCCTCGCGCGCGCGACGCCCCTCCCGCTGCGCGGCGCGCGCGCGCCTCTGCGCGCCCTCGCGCCGCCCCGGGGAGGGGCGCCTCCTCTCGCAGCCCGGGCCGCGGTGCGCGCAGAGCGCGATCCTCTTCGCGCACCCGGGGGGTGACCTCGTCGACGGGCCCTTCGGGGCCGGGCAGGCGCCCTTCGGCGCCCCCCTCGCAGGGACTCCGCCCGCGGGCACTCTAGAAAGGCGACCCGGCGAGGCCAACCCCCCCTCCCCGATGTGTGTAGGCAGCGCTGCCCTGCCAGGCAGAAGCCCAAGAGTGCCAACCCTCCCCGATTTGTGGGCAGCGCTGCGCTGCCAGGCAGAAGCCCAAGAGTGGCAGCGCTCGGCACATCTCCCAAATACCCGTTGTAGTGAGGGCCCCTCCCGGTGCCGCGGAGCACTTGGAGGCCGAGGGCGACCACATCCCGAGGAGGAGGAGGAGGAGGAGGAGGAGGAGGAGGAGGGAGGAGGAGGAGGAGGAGGAGGAGCAGGAGGAGCAGAGGAGGAGAGGAGTCAGGAGCAGAGGAGGAGAGGGAGGAGGGGAGGAATAGGAAGGAGGCGGGAGGCGGGATGAGGTATGGAGAGGGAGGAGGAAGGTGAGGAAGGAAGGGAGGAAGGAGGAGGGAGGGAGGTGAGAGGGTGGAGGAAGAGTAGGAAGGAGGAAGAGAGGAGAGGAGGAGGAGGAGGAGGGATGGGAGAGAAGGGGGAGGAGGAGGAGAGCAGGAGGAGGAGGACAGGAGGAGAGCAGGAGGAGGAGAGAGGAGGAGGGAGGAGGAGGAGGAGGCAGAAGGAAGGGAGGAGGGAGGACGGAGGAGGGAGGAGGGAGGAGGGAGGAGGTGGAGTGTGGAGAGAGGAGGAGGAGGCGAGGCGGTGGAGGAGGAGGGGTAGGAGAGAAGGGAGTGAGAGTTAACTTGAGGTATTGGAGAGGAGTGAGGATGAGGAAGGAGGAGGAGGAGGAGGAGACCACCGCCTGCAGATCTCAAAACGGAGGTGGGCGCCCCGCCGAGCCCCTTCCGAGCGGCGCGCCGCCGGGCCCCCGGCGGGGGCGGCGCCGCCGCGGCGCCTGCGCATCTTTCTTGAGCCGGGCCTTGTCGGCCGCGTCCTCCTCCTGAGCACGAGCAGGAGGAACAATAACATGAGGCAACAATAACAACAATAATATGTTTAAGACTGTTAGCTCTTTCATTGCCCGCGTGCAACTCAACATTGACTCAACATGTATTCGCCTAAGCCCTCGATACCCGCCCGCTCATCAGGACGGTGAGGAGAGAAGAATTTTATGTTGCATCCTCGGGGGACCTTGTCTGTCCCGTCGCGGCCCTGTCCGCGTCGGATCCGCGTCGAACCCATGTCGGACGCGTCGGATCCGTGTCGGATCCGTGTCGAATCCATGTCGAATCCGCGTCGAATCCACGCCGAATCCGCGTCGAGTCCGCATCCAGCACGCGTCGGGCCCCCCCCAAAGACACTAATTTCTGGGACAGGCGAGGTCCCCCGAAGATGCAACAGAAAGGAGCTGGATGGGGAGGAGCACGAGAATCTCACGAAGGATGGGCTTGGATAGAACATGCTCAGATCTGGTCAACTGGTTCAGGCTGTGTTGAGGCGACCGTCTAGGAACAGGAAACGCTATGCCAAGCCACAGTGCGCTGGTGTGAATTCGGCGATGCGGCGCTGTATCCGCCAGCCCCATTGTGGGGCCACCAGGCTGCGCGGATGAGGTTTCCTGCGCCCTGCACGAGTTCCAACTTGCAGTCTCCATTGTTACAATTCTACTTGCTGTCTCTAACCGCAGGTTGTTGCTGTCCGCGCGAGGGTGGGGGACCCGAGCGCGATGTGCGACCGCCCTCGCTGCTGACGAAGCAGTTCCTCAGAATTCTTCATGGCTCCTGAGGGCTCATCAGAATCCATATGGATCTCCAGGCTTCCCAAAAGAATATTCGCAATTCCTCGGGATTCCTCATGAAGCCTCCAGCAGTACCCTGGGCAAGATGCCTCAGGATTTCCACCAAAGGGATCCTGAGGAATCCTCGCAGGTGAAAAGAACGTCGTCCTCATTTTGGCTGGCAGAAACACGCTCTCGAAACTCCGAGGAGCAGGGAGGACAGATAGGAGGCGAGCGAGGGAATTACGAATAATACTTTAATGATATTAATAATTCGCCGGCCCAACGGGCCAGGGCGTGCTAAGATCTCCGGTAACTGGTTAACAGTATTAACAGTATTTCTAGTTCGCGCGCGCGGGGCGGCCCCTGGGGGTCCCCCGGCGAAAAGTACCCCGACCAACGCCCGGTCGCCGCCCGACCGCCGCCCGACCGCCGCCCGACCAAGTCAACTCAGAGATGGTTTTCCTTCTGGGTGCGGCCTCTCAGGCTCCCCAGAGCGCGCTCAGAGTGCCCCAAGAGGCCCCCAAGACTGCCCCAGAGGCCCCCGAGACGCCCAAAGAGCGCTCGAAGACGCCGAAGATGACCCCAAGACGGCCCAAAAGGCCCCCAAGACAGCCCAAGAGGCCCCCCCCCCCCCCCCCCACCCCCAAGACGCCCCAAGACTTCCAAGAGGCCTCCGAAGAGAGCCCAAGAGTTCCAAAATCGTTGGAAGTTTTGCTTTTTTTTTTTTCATTGGTTTTTTTCGATGCTTTTTGTGTTTCTGCTCTGCGTGTAGCTGTTTCTGGCTTTTTCGGCTTCCGGACGCTCCAAGACGGCCCAAGAGGCCCCCAAGACCGCTCCAAGACGGCCCACGAGGCTCCCAAGACGGCCCCGGAACGGCCCAGGAGGGCCCCCAAGACGGCCCAAGTGCCGCCCAAGACGGACAAAGAGGCCCCAAGACGGGCCCAAGAGGGGCTCAAGAGGGGAACCGAGAACTGAAAAATCGAGCCCTCCGCCCCAGAAGGCGCCCAGGAGGCCCCAAAAAGGCCCCAAGAGGCCCCCAAGAGGCCCCCAAGACGCCCCAAGAGGCGCCCAAAAGGCCCAAAAGAGGCCCCAAGAGGCCCCAAAACGGCCCCCAAAACTCGGCTAGCCCACAACGGTGCGACAATATGGGCCGGCGGAATGAGCGAAGCGATTAAATAATAATACGATTGATAATACTACTACTACTACTAATAATAATAATAATGAGATGAATCAGAAAATGCGCAAGCGTGATCAAATCGAGGGCAAACAAATCTCAATATGCGATTGCGCAAATGTCTGCTGTTACCTAGCCGGCGCTCGGAACACGTCTCAAATCTTCCGGCCCCTTGGAATGCGGAGGCTCCTCCCGCGACAAAGCTCTTCGACAACTCTGTTTTCCTCCGTCCTCCGCCCTCTTCCCCTCTCCTGCCCCGCATCCTCCTCCTCCTCCTCCTCCTCCTCTTCCTCCTCCTCCTTCTCTTCCTCCTCCTCCTCTTCCTCCTCCTCCATTCTCTCCGCCCATTCTCTCCGCCCTGGGGGATCCTTCAGCTTCTGGGCCTTCTCCACGAGCTCCGTCCACGACTTGTCGTCGGGCTGGAGCTTCCTGCCCTCCTCGCAACATGGGGGGATGGGGGGAGTGGGCGGCGGCGTGCGCGCCGGGGCGGTGGTGGGGGGGATCGGGCCCAGTGGGAGCACACCTCGTCCTCTTCCTCCTCCTCCTCCTCCTCCTCCTCATCATCTTCTTCTTCTTCTTGTTATTATTCTGCTTATTATTATTATTCCTCCTCCTCCTCCTCCTCCTCCTCCTACCCTTCCTCCTCCTTCCTCCTCCTCCTCCTCCTCATCATACTCCTCATCCTCTCCTCCTCCTCCTCCTACTCCCTGCTCCTCCTCCTCCTCTCCTCTCCTCCTCCTCCTCCTCCTCCTCCTCCTCCTCCAGGGGTAGCCTTGGAGGGGCGGAGGGAGAGGAGGGACTGGGCGGAGGAGGATAGGAGGGACGAAGGGACTGGAGGTCTCTCTTGCCAACTTTTTGCGCGGGCTTCGGCCCAATTCTCCAGCGGTAAGCAGTGGCGCCGTGGCTGCTTCCCTCTCTGCAGCGACGACTCCAAGCGCAAAGCCAGCCCCGGGGCAGCCGCAAAAGATACAGCTGTCAAAGCGCACAGTCCGCCTCAGGAGTCCGTTCTGCGCCATGGAATGCTTCGTGCGGTTTCGACTTGCGACGCCCCTGACGCTACTTTCTCTGCGCAGCCTCATGCCATTCGCTGACGGACATGACCGCATCGAATGCACCCGATCTTTTTCTAACCTCCGAAATTAAGCGACGAGGAGGAATGGAAAATGACAAGGAAAGCGCGGGGTGGGGGGGGGCGAGAGGGAGGGAGGGGGGAGAGAAGGGTGCAGGTGGATGGTCAATCTACACGCGCTCGCGCTATATTTGGCGTCTACCCCTCCCTCCCATCCCTTCCCATTGCGCTGACTCCGCTCCTGTTCGCAGAATCGGGTGTCGGGAAAGACCTGGACGACCAAGAGGGTAAACTGATCACAGAAGGCCTTCGCCCAGGGAGCCGAGAGCTGGAAGGGCATTAGCAAGGTCTCCTAACTTCGCATACCGCGCCCCGCGGTGCGCGGTTATCTTCACGCCCATGCGCCGAGGCGCCCCAAGAGGCCTTCAGGAGACATCCCCAAAGACTCCAAGGGGCATCCAAGAAGCTCCTGGCCCGCGGAGGCTCCCCAAGCTCTCCAAATAGTGCCACGCTCCCCCGAAAAGGGCAGCTTCCCTGGGCATCGTTCATGGATGGGCTGGTGGGGATACGCGCAGCACTGTCTACGTTTCCTTCTTGGGCGTTTCGAAATCGTGCGGAAGGGAGGGGGGGGGGGTCTGGCTCTGGACCTCCGCTTCGTGCGACGGTTTGCGCCGTGGGGGAGACTCCACCTGCTTGACAGAGGCGTCAAAAAACAGTCAACGAGGGGGGGGGGCCGGGGGGAGCGGGGGGCGAGAGCCCGCTCCGATCGGCAGAACAATGAGAAAGACAGAACTCAAGCTCCTTCCAGCTTCGCTGCTGCACAGGCACAGTGGCCAGGCTTGCCGCAGGCAGCCGAGAGCCCACAATGGGCGGCGGGGTAATCATGGAGGATGCCTGCAGCCAAGCGAGCCCCAGCGGGGGTGTCCGAAGGGCCGACCGAACCCGCAGGGGTGGGGCTCGTAAGTGATCCCATGAGCCCATTTCTTCGTTACTCGCGAGAACGCCCCTCCCCCCCCCTCTTCCCGCCTCTGGTCACGCCACGATTTGCGCTGGCGCCGTCTGGGAATGAGCTGTTCATTGGGCCTTCCCTGCCACGCGAGCTGTCGCCAGGGATGAAAAACTGCTTCCGGGTGATCGCATCCCCTGGAGCCGTGCTGCTCATCCCCGGACGGCGCCGGCACGACTCGTGACGCGACCGGCCCCCTCACCCCCTCAAACCCACGCCACGCGAGTTATCGCCAAGGGTTAAAAAACTGCGTCCAGGCGATCGCATCCCCAAACATCCAGCGGCTCCGATTTTTCGATGCGTGGGCCCTGGAGGTCTGGGCCACTTCCCTGGGGCCAGTTGTTCGTCCCGAATCGTTATTTGACGGTCCCGAAGCCCAGCGAAGGCCCCCGGAGGCCGAAGACAGCCCCAAACCCGCCGCTCCGTGTCTCGAGGAGAGGGAAGAGGTGGAGGAGGAGGAGGAGGAGGAGGAGGAGGAGGAGGAGGAGGAGGAGGAGGAGGAGGAGGAGGAGGAGGAGGAGGGGAGGGAGAGGGGGAGGAGGAGGAGGAGGAGGAGGAGGAGGAGGAGGAGGAGGAGGAGGAGGAGGAGGTGCAACGTCGGGTCTCTGGGTCTCCTGGAGCCGTGCTTTCCCGTGCCGAGGATCGGTGCCGCGGCACCGCGGGGCGCGGGAGGCCGCCCTCTCGGGCGGGGTGGCAGTGGAGGGGGACCTAAGGTCGGTGGTCCAAAGGCGGGGTCCAGAGGCTGGAAAGGTGGTCCAGAGGTGGGGTCCTGAGGTGGAGGGGGGCCTAAAGCGGGACCCAGAGTGGGTGGTCCAGAGGTGGAACCCAACGTCGGTGGTCCAAAAAGGTGGAGGGGGACCCAAAGTCGGTGGTCCGAAGGTGGGGTCTAAGGACAGGAAGGAATCCAAAGTGGAATATGCGCTGCTTGAAGCACCTCGCCCTTAGGACCCCATCCCTCCAGACCCCACCGTCGAACCACCGATGCCTGGGGGGTGAAGGAAAGAGCCCAAGAGGGGCCCTTTCTATAGCCCCTGTTGGAGCCCGCAGGGGCCCCAAAGGGGTCCAAAAGGGCCCTTTTGGGGCCCTTCTCTCCACCCCCCGTGTACGTCCCCCCCGCTGAGAGGGCAGGTGCCGACCCGAGAGGGCGGGTGCCGACCCGAGAGGGCGGGCGGGCACCCCTGCCACCCGCCCGAGAGGGCGGGTGCCGACCCTCGGCGGCGAGGCACCCCGACCTCCGGCCCGTGGCCCCCACGCCCAGCTCTGCGGGGCTCCTCGGCCGCAGCCACCGCGTCGTCGAACTCGTTGAGCCGAGTGAGCGCGGTCGCCTTCCTGTGAAAGGCCTCGCGCGCGGGAGCTGTGATTGGCCAGTTTTGCACCACCGCTGCCATAGGTGGGACAGGGGAGGAGGGAAATGGGGAGGCCCTCCTCCTCCTCCTCCTCCTCCTCCTCCTCCTCCTCCTCCTCCTCCTCCTCCCTCTCCGATCTACGGTAGTGGTGGTGGAAAATCGACCCTTCAAGCTAGGTCACTTCACTTCGCGCATCCCTCCCCGCGGCGCGCGACCCCTCGCGAGGCCAGCTTCGAGCAGGGCGGCTGTCCCGTCCAGGCCGCGACGCGCGGAGCGCGAGCATCTCCGCGCCCCTGGGCTTGAGGGGAGGGGCGCTGGCCGGAGGGGGGGACTGGCCATCGCTCGGACGTCCCTTCCCTGTGCCTTTTTCTGCTTCGGGCGTGGCTTCTCCGCAGGATGATCCGGGATGCTCCTCCATAACCCCCGCCGAGAAAAGTGCACACGTCCGAGCGATACGGTAGAGGGAAACAATTAGTGAACACTCCCCCTCCCCCCCAAACTCAATGTTGGCACGCGCGGGGGGGGACTGCGGTCGAAGTGCATCTCATCAGACCCACCGCCAACCTTGAACACTGGGGGGGAGAGGGGGAGGCGTTGACTGATGAATTTGGCATGAGTGTTCGCTAATTTGGTCCGCTAATTTGTTCGTGCGTGGCTTCTCCGCAGGATGATCCGGGATGCTCCTCAATAACCCCCGCCGAGAAAAGTGCACACGTCCGAGCGATACGTACCAAGGGGAACAGAGAGGGGTCGGGCGGTGCCCAAATCTCGCCAGCTCGGGCCCCGCGTGGGGGAGGCCGAGGCATCCGCCACCCCGGCGCGCCCGCTCCGCCCTTGCGAGACTGCCGGGGAGCACCCGCTCCCCTCTGCGGGCAGGGGAGGAGGTGGGGGCGGCGGGGCCCCCCTCGATGGAGCTGGACCTGGCCATCGCTCGGACGTCCATTTCCGGTGGTTTTTTTCGGTTTCGTGCGTGGCTTTTTCGCCAAATGATCAAGGATGCTCCTCGATGGTCCTCGCCGAAGGAAAAAATGCACACGTCCGAGCGATGCCAAGGGACAGGGGAGGGGGGGCGTATGGAAGGAGGGGGGGCAAGAGAGCGATCAGGAGCGCGCCCCTACCTCAATCGGCGGACTGCCCAGGAGCGGAATGGTTAGCGAGCAAGGCCAAGGCAAGTGCAGGGCGTTCGCGCTGCGAACACGGATGGGCAGACATGGAGCTTGAGATAGATCAACCCCTGTAAGAATCCCACCCATCCATGTTTCGACGCAAATTTAACCACGTGAGGGCAAGACATACCAATACATGGCAATCCCAGCAAGCATGCTGCAAGTCCGTTGACAGTTCGAGTACGTACACGCAAAAACGGCACGTAGGAGGCTGGCAAACGCTGGTGTGATTGATGCATTAGTTCTCTCCCCTGTCATTCGTTTCGTCGTCGCTCCCCCTCCCCTCTCCTGTCTTCTTCCTCCTCCTCCTCCTCCTCCTCCTGCTCCTCCTCCTCTTCCTCCCTCCTGCTCCTCCTGCTCTTGCTCCTGCTCCTGCTCCTGCTCCTGCTACTGCTCCTGCTTCTGCTCCTGCTCCTGCTCCTGCTCCTGCTCCGCTGCTCCTGCTCCTGCTCCTGCTCCTGCTCCTGCTCCTGCTCCTCCTCCTCCTCCTCCTCCTCCTCCTCCTCCTCCTCCTCCTCCTCCTCCTCCTCCTCCTCCTCCTCCTCCTCCTCCTCCTCCTCCTCCCCCCCCCTGCCCTGATCAGCCGGCGCAGTATTTCGCCCCAGTCTCTGGGTCACCGCTTCGCGCATCGCTCCCCGCGGTGCGCGACGCACGATCATCTCCGCGCCCCCGCGCTCTCGCGGCGCCGCCCCTGGACCAGGGCAGCCGCTCGGGGCCCGGACAACGACGCGCGAAGCGCGCTGGTCTGCGCGCCGCCGAGGGTGACCTACGACTCACGCCGCGCGGCTCCATTTCCAGCCCGGCGCCCTGCTGGGGGGGAAGACGTCCACGGCTTCCCGCGGGACGCTCGTCCCATCTCGTCCCGTCCTGCCGTGTTTTCGTTTTACTGGGCATCCCAGCGACATCCCTCCACAAGCGGCGCGCAAGACATGCAGTGTGGAACATGCGGGAGAAGAGGCACTCGGCGGCGAGCACAGAGGGGTTGGGGGAGAGGGGGAAGGCTTCTTGAAAGAAGGCTGCTTCTTCAAGGCGCTGGCCCTACACCTACAGATAAGGCCCGCGCCTTCCAAAAAGCAGGGTCCTTCTAAGAAGCCTTCCCCCCTCCCCTATCCCGCTCTGCGCTTGGCTAAGGCATGCTGTCCTCCTGGTCTTCGTCCTCATCATTGCTCTGGCCCTCGTCCTTCTCCGCCTTCTCCTTCTCCTCCTCTTCCTCTTCCTCCCCCTCAATCCTTCCTTCTCCCACAGTGTTCCCTCCTCCTTCCTCTCTTCCCTCCTCCCTCCCTCCCTCCCTCCTCCTTCCGCTCCCAGCTGTCTCCTCCCCCCTCTTCACTCATCACTCGTCCCTCCTTCTTGCGTCCTCGTCCTCGTCCTCCTTCTTCACCTCCTCCTCCTCCTCCAACTCCTCCTCCTTCACCTCCTCCCTCTCCTCATCTTCCTTCTCCTCCTCCTCCTCCTCCTCCTCCTCCTCCTCCTCTTCCTCCTCCTCCTCCTCCTCCCTTGCCTCCTTCATCCTCTTCCCTCGCCTCCTCCACCCTTTCCTTGTTCATTCCTCCCATCTCCCCTCTCCCCCCCTCCCCCTCCCGCTCCCCCTCTCCCTCCCCGCCCAGCCCTATATAGAGCTTCCCCCCTTCCTCTCCCCCGCCCCCGCCCTCCGCGGAGGAGGGACGAGAGGGGGAGAGAGCCCAGAGGGGGGGGAGAGGCACAGGCGAGGAGAGGAGGAGAGAGAGGGAGGAGGAGGAGGACGAGGGCGAGGAAGGACGGAGAGAGGAGGAGGGGGAGGGGGAGGGGGAGGGGGAGCGGGAGGAGAGAAGGAGGAGGAGGAGGAGGAGGAGGAGGAGGAGGAGGAGGAGGGCGAGGCACCGCCTCCCCCCGCCCACCTCCCGCGGAGCTCCGACCCCCGCAGACCCCGGGGGATCCCCCGGCCCCGGGGGAGAGCGCGCCCAAGGGGGCTCGGGCCGCGCCTCCTCCTCGCCTCTCCGCCTGCAGCCGGGCAGCCTCACCCAATCCCATCCCGGCGGGGTGTGGGACGCCGATCCGATCCGATCCGATTTCGAGGGCTTCCGATTCCGATTCGATTCGGTTTCGGCTTCCGATTGGGGCTCAGATTTCTCGATGGAGGCCTACTGGCCTGCCGATTTTCGCCGATTCGGCTTTTCCCGACTCGGCTGCCGATTTCTGCCGATCCGATTCGGAGTGGGGTCGATAGTGAGATCGATACAGGGCAATTTTTAAGACATCGGACTTGTTTTTAAGATGCCGGATCTTCTTTATACATGGCTCATTTATGAATAAGTTTGCGTATGGGTTCATCGTTGTTTTTAGTACTAAACCCCTGCATCTTTAATCCATGACCCGCACGCGGAGCATGTATTAAAAACGGCACTGTAGTGAGATCGACCAGTGTCCCGTGGAGCCCCGTGGTGTCCCGTGAAGCGAGGTCGACAGCGAGATCGATGGAGTCAGAGCTTGGTTTCCCCCCCTCCCCCCCCCACCCCACCCCTTCTCACCCCGAAGGGCGAGGCTTTTGGAGGGGGGCCCTGGGAGGGTCGAGGGGCGCGTCCATGGGGCCGTGCGGGGAGGTTCTGGCGTGCCGGGGGCGTCCGGAGGTCAGGGAGAGCAGCAGAACAGCAGAGCGCCGAGAGCGAGCCGCCTCCCCGTGGCCGCGTCGGAGTTTGCCGGCGTGGGGAAGCACCCCCCCGCTTCGGTGGGCTCATCCTCTTCTTATCTCCTCTTCCTCTCCTCCACTGCCTGAGACTGATGTAGAAAGCGCACATCGCTTTGGGACCCTCGCGCTAAAACAAAACAAACTGTTCACGACATGCGGACATAAAAGCATGGTGCATAGTATAACACTGTATGGCTGAGTAGCCCCCTGGGCGAAAATCATCAAACACCGCCTTCATGCTTGAATGATCTGAATCCCTTGGGCTGTCCACAACCCAGCAAAGAGTGCGCATAGGTATCACAAGGAAAGGTCAGGTGAAAAGGCGCCTTGACAAATGTGGGGTCTACCTCGATGCACTTGTTGGCATCGGCCAAGGCCTCCTCAACCTGCACGCTGGATATCACGGACGCGAGAGGAGGCGCGGAGGCGAACACCATCTCGCGATTGCCTCTTGCTCCTTGCCTTCACTAGACATCGTCTTCCTGGAATGAGTGCCCAATATACTTCCCATCCTCTTTTCCTAATACGTGCTACCTATTCCAACTATTTCAGTGGTCCTCTGCCGGACGCTCAAATAATATATTGGCCCTTATCTGAGCAACGCATTCTGCATTGTACTGCGTCTGACGCGCGGGCCAACTCCTCTCGCACACTCAATTAGAAATCTGTGGGAAGTAGGGTCGGCGGTGCCAAATATGATAATGATAACCGTCATCATCCTACCCGAGCGCATGCTCTCGCCCCATCGCTGCTACGCGCAACGATAGGTTCCGACGGGCCTTCGTGGAGGATGCGTAGGAGGAGCAGCAGCATACGGAGCGCGGGAGTCAGGACGACGATGGTCAGAAGAAACAGGAGTTGGCGGAGCAGAACGAAGGGAAGACGAAGGCGATGAGGGATCATCCAGGTCACCTAACTTCGCGCATCCGCCCCGCCATGCGCCACTATGATTGCGCCCTCGCGCCGGCCCCTTCGAGAAGGGCGACGGCTCTAACCCAGACCCCGACCGCGAGGCGGGGTTATCTTCGCGCCCGCAAGGTGGAGGAGGGGGAGGAGGAGGAGGAGAAGGAGGAGGAGGAGGAGGAGGAGGAGGAGGAGGAGGAGGAGAGGGAGGAGGAGAGGGAGGAGGAGGAGGAGGAGGAGGAGGAGGAGAGAAGGAGGGGAGGAGGAGAGGAGGAGGCGAAGGCAGGCTCAGGAGGACCAGGAGAGGGAGGAGGAGAGGGATGAGGAGGAGGAGGAGGAGGAGGAGGAAGAGAAGGAGGAGGAGGAGGAGGAGGAGGCGAAAGGCAGGCAGAGGAGGACCACGAACCCGGGGACCAGGCAGAGCCCGACACCCGCGGCTTCACGGCGGACGCTCGAGCACGGGCGCCTCCTCCCCGGCGCGCGGCGAGCGCCCACCGGGACGGGAGCGGGACCCTCCTTGGACGCCCGAGTTATCCGGGGTAACTCGGGTCCGGGGTAACTCGGGTTTGGGTTCCCGAAAAACGAACCCGAGTTATCCCTGACCCGAGTTACCCCTGATGATTCGGGGCTCTGACCTCCTATGGGACGCACAGAGACACGCTAATGCCACAGAAGCCGCGTCACGCCGAAGCGGCGCAGGCAGGCGCGGATCTCCTGCCGGCGCCGCGCGCAGGGGCTCACCGAAGCTGCTGCTCCTGAAGGCTCCCTCCTCCCTGGCTCGGGGATCAACCTAAACGTGAGACGCACAGAGAGATACTAGTACTAGATGTCCTCCTTGGAGGCGCGCGTCCGACCTGAGCATATAGCGTACCCAGCTTGTCGTAGATCATTTCCCGAGCGGCGTGGTCAGAAAGCGCCCGCCACGACGCATGTACTAGAAGATTTCTCGGTGCGCGCGTCGCCCTTGGGGGGCGACGCACATGTAGTATAAGTATGTTGGGGTGACGCCGATCTTAGGAGAGTTGCATGGGGGAGGGGCTCGACAACAAGAAACATTCCACAATGAACCCAACCCTGAGATCCCAGGACGTCCATTGTTTTTTGTTTCAGTTTAGGAGCGTCGCGCTTCCCATCGCAGAAACCGTCGAAACCCAGGGCACCCTGGAGGCAAGCAGGGTGTTTCTTGGAATGGGTCTCCCCTGCAGTGCCAAATCACCAGGCCCCAGGGCCTCGTGATGGGGCCCTGATGGGGTCTCTCTGGAGGTCACCTGGCCCTCCAGTGCACTCCCAGGGCCACCTTGAGCCAGGGGCACCTCGGGGAACCTCCGAAGGACGGTACGATGTCTACGCCACCTAACTTCGCGCATCGTGCTTTTCGATCCGAGGTTATCTTCGCGCCATCGCGCCCTCGCGTCGCGTCTTTGGAGACGGGCAACCGCTTTGGCCCACACCGCGACGCGCGAAGCGCGATGACTTTCACTCCATTGCGGGTGCCCTCTTACTTTGCGCTCCTTCCCCCATGGGAAGCGCTCTTTCGGTACGGCAGGGGCACAAGATTTCGAGAGAAGACTCGGAACAAAAGCATAACAAATATTACACAACATGCGCTAGAAACGAATTCCTGGGGGCTGCGAATGCGAATGTCCCCTCCCTTGTCTCACTGCCTCGTCTCATCTCGGTTTTTTCATTCTCCCATAGATCCCTTGCTTAGCCCGGCTTATCCACAGCCAGCAGATTCCAGCTGGCAGGAGAACTGGCTCTTCGACGACGCGCAATCAAATCCCTCCCTCCCCCCTCTCCTGCTTACCCCTCCTCTTCATCCCTTTGTTGCTCCTCATTCTCCCTCCTTTCCTCCCTACATACTCCACCTCCTCTTCATTATCAGTATCTTCCCCCTCATTCCCACCCCTGCTGATGATCCTTCTAAGGATGCTGCGCACCAGGCTCTTCGACTCATCATTGTTCCATTACGCTCCTCCTCATCATTCTCATCCTCTTGATCATATTATTATTGTTTCTTAGTGTTATGTTTTATTAGCTTATTCGTCTCAATATTACTGTTGGCCGTTATTATGCCAATCGTATTATTAGCATTGGCATTATCATTCGTATGTTTATGTTTGTGATATTGTTCCTAGGATTATTACTCGTATGATATGCAGTTAAATCATAATACTATGACTATTATTATTAGTATTAATCCTCTTCTTTATTTTTCTTGTTCGTCTTCCTCCTCCTCTTCCTCCTCAACCCCCTCTGGTGTTGTCGTGCGCTAATCCCTCTCATCTGACTTACTTATTTTTTGAAGTTGCGTCGACTATTGGGAGCCTGCGGGGAAGCGTGGCAGATGGGGGAATGGCAGCAACACAGCATAGCGCAGCAGCGGAAGAGCATTGTATCACATGTTGGCTCCTAGCAATTGCATCGTTGTGCGCGGCTTGAGGCCGGGGCTCAAGGGCACCCCCGCACACTGCAGTGGGGTCGCGCAGAGGGCGACCATATGGAGAGGTATCGGCGTCATCGCATTCTAGAGTACTCCTCCTTCTCTTCTTCCTTTGGCCTGTGGTTGTTGGCTGCAAGACATCTAGCAAACGCAGCCAAGCCTGCCCTTCGGTTTTTCATTCTGATCTCACCATCACCGTCATCATCACGTCACCATCCTCATCACCATCATCGCCATCATCTTCGTCCTCATGGTCCACTTCATCCATCTTCCCTCTTTTCTCCTCCTCCTCCTCCTCCTCCTCACCCTCCTCGTGTACCATCCTGTTTTATCATCAACCGTTCTCTCCTCCTCGTCCGCGTCCTCCATCCTCCTTCTCTGGGGATACAAAAAGGAGCCCCGGACCTCTCCTGGGGTGCGTTCTGCCCAGCATCTCGAGGCGAAGCCAGCGGTGGCGACGAGCTCCTGCCAGGAGGCCCCAAAAAGGGGAAAACCGCCGAAGGGTAAAGGTATGGGTACCTTTTCCTCCTCTGACTCTCCTCGCCCTCCTCCTCCTTCGCTTCGTCCTCCCCCTTCCTCCTCCTTCGCTTCGTGCTCCCCCTTCATGCTCCTCCTTTCTCCTCCTCTGATTCTCCTCGCCTTTCTCCTCCTCTGACTCTCCTCGCCCTCCTCCTCCTTCGCTTCGTCCTCCCCCTTCATGCCTCAGGCTGCGGGCCGATCTGCTGGAGCCGTCGGCCCCCCCCCGCTTCCTCATCCCCACCCCCCCAGCAGCACGGCTCAAGCGTGGGAAGCGCTGCAGCACCCTCCTGCGCTGCTCCTGCGATGCAGCCTTGTGGATGCCACGACAATGGACACCCTAACAGTCCTGTCATCGAATAACAGATGTGTTTACAACGTCGGACAATGTCCTGAAAATGTTTGAAGCCTGTTTTCTTAGAGGAAAAGGAACTATGCACATACACCGATTCTGACCAGGCCCGTCCTGAGCCCAGGATCGGTGCATACGCCCTCCTACCTTGGCCAGGAAGGCATATGCACCGATGCTGGGGCCAAGGATGGGCCTGGCCAGGACCGGTGCATGTGCATAGTTCTCTTCGCCCGAATTTCACATGTATAAGCAAAGTTTTAACACATGTTCTAGACATCTGGAAATTATTTGGCAACATGCTTCCTCTTCATTGACCGTCCTCCACAAGTGTAGCCGAATAGCGGGCAAGTTCTGATTGGAAGGACTTGGTCATGCCGGAGCGTTTGTCGTCGTAGAACCCGCGGCCCAGGGCGAAGCGCGCTCTGTGATCGGCTGCCTCCTCCTCGTCCTCCACCTCCGCCTCCTCCTCCTTCCTCGAAGCGAAGCCAAGAATGCATTGGCCGGGCAGGGCGCCCACACGGTCGGTGTCTTCTTCCGCGTTTCCCTCCTTCGATGAGGTGGCCGCGAGGCTGAGAGCGTTGCGTCCGTGTCCAATGTGAAAGATCCCCAGAGCGCGCGCGATGTTCTCCTGCTCCTCCTCCTCCTCCTCCTCCTCCTCTTCCTCCTCCTCCTCTTCCTCCGCCTCCTCCTCCTCCTCCTCCTCCTCCTCCTCCTCCTCCTCCTCCTCCTCCTCCTCCTCCCCCTATTCCTCGACGTGCTCGGCGCCCTCCTCCTTGCCCTCCTCCACGTGCACGGCGTCCTTGGCCCCCCCATTCCTACAGTTCGCAGCGACGTGCACAAAGTAGCCACGCTTGTAATAATTGGGCCATTTCGTCCTTTACCTCCTACTTTTGTTGATTGCATCCGCCCTTTTCGTTTTATGGTGGTCACGCTCATAACCCCAATCGGCGTCGTTGGACCACCAGTAACCATGATCATCTACAAAACCCTCTGCGTTCCACCCCCCTGGGGAGTCCCAAGTGTTCCCTCGATCGTCGGTGCCTCCGCTAACGTTTCCGATGTCGCGTTGGCGCCCAATCTCGGGGATGGACAAACCCCCCTTTAGTAGAACGCGGTTTAGTGAAAACGACCTGAGGCCCAAACCTGGCGGGCGCAAGCCTGGAAAATAACGGCCACGGCGCCCTCTCGAGAACCGAAAACGGACAATTCACTAATCGACGTGTCACTGTTGGGGGTTCTGTCCACCCCCGACAATCTCTTCTCACGCGCCCGGTCTTCACATTTAAGCTCGGAGGTTGATCGCTCTCTGACGTGAGCGAATCGGTCGTTTGGGAGCACTCCCGGCGCCACCCTTCCATGCGTCATGATGGCCCTCATCGCACTTTATGCGGAACGGAAAGCTGAAGCAGCATCGTGCGGAGCCGTACTTCCCCAGCCCTTTTCACCAGCGCCGTCCATTGCTTTCACTGGGTAGCCACGTATCCAATGTTCTTTGGGTTGTTCGGGTTCATAGCTGGGCTCATCTTGGCTAACAGAGTCACCCCAGTAACCGCATGGAGCACCTTATACACAGACATACAGATATAGATATACATATCGGTATGCTGGTATCCCATTGCCTCCTCGGGGCCTGTTTAACTTCCCACTGGGTTCCACTCCTGCCAGTTTTGTCATTCAGGATGTATCACACGTCCTCGTCTGACTCGCGCACAATTTCTTCAGTTGTGTCTAACTCTTCTTTGTCATCCTCCTCCTGTTGCTTCACATGGCTGGCTGTCGCGTATTCTGATGCGGTTAACACACCGCTGAGGATCCTGACCATATCGTCACAACCTTCATCCTGCAACGTGCCGCCATGGTATCCAGCATGTCGCCCATATTCATTAACGCACTCCGGTACTGTGGTTTAAATTGTGCCAACGCGTTCAATATTTGTTCGATCCGCTCGTGGAATTTAGCTCGGTCACCGGCGAACATGTTGAGCTGTTATGTGGCCTTATATGCACTAAACGGCTTTTGTTGTCCTCCCGACTTGCTCTTTCCCTCTGCTATGGGAATCGGCTATCTTCGTGACCTGTTCTATCGTGTTCCTCCGCACGTTCGTTTGGTCCTCGAGATTATCAATCCTCATTTGAAGTTGATAAACGTTTCCCTTCTGCGCACATGTTGCGGTTCATGACGCCGAGGAGCAAGGAGTTCACCTTATGGGCCATTAGTATCAGTCCAGGCTCCTCACTCCAGCTGCAAGATGTCTCTCAATGAACTCTTTCATCTCTTCATGATTACCTCTCAACGCCACTTCTGGAGAACTGTAGTCACCTCCGTAGTACGGGACCCTGAACCTCGCTTGGTTGAGGTTAAACCATCGGTCTCGGTCCTGCGGCGTGTTTAACTCCAGGAGTGGATCTCCGGGATGAGCGGGTGATTGTGCTTCTGCCGCTGCTGCTGCGTCTCCCATGAACCTCGCTCCGCTACCATGCAAACTCCTGAGGAGGCATTGCACAGGAACGATGCTTAGTCATATGTTTTCACAGCGGGGCGCAAGACACAATCCACGGTAAGATACTTGAGCCAAGTGCCAGCGGTAACGCTACCACCTGACTGCGAGACGTGTGGCTATGCTCCCCACACAATCTCAAAGACAAATACCTCCTCCTCCTCCTCCTCCTCCTCCTCCTCCTCCCCTCCCCCTCCTCCTCTCCTCCTCCTCCTCCTCCTCCCTCCTCCTCCTCCTCTCCTCCTCCCTCCTCCTTCCTCCTCTGTCCCCTCTCCTCCTCCTCCTCCTCCTCCTCCTCTTCTCCTCCTCCTCTTCCTCTCCTCCTCCTCTCCTCCTCTCCTCCTCCTCCTCCCTCCTCTCCTCCTCCTCCTCCTCCTCCTCCTCCTCCTCCTCCCTCCTCCTCCCTCATCCTCCCTCCTCCTCCCTCCTCCTCCCTCCTCCTCCTCCTCCTCCTCCTCCTCCCTCCTCCTCCCCCTCCCTCCCTCCTTCCCTCCCTCCTCCCCCTCCTCTCTCCCTTCCTCCTCCTCCTCCTCCTCCTCCTCCTCCTCCTCCTCCTCCTCCTCCTCCTCCTCATCTCCTCCTCCCTCCTCCTCCGTGACTCTCCTCCTCCTCCTCTCCTCCTCCTCTCTCCTCCTCCTCCTCCTCCTCCTCCTCCTCCTCCTCCTCCTCCTCCTCCCCCTCCGTGACTCCCTCCAGGGACCTTATTCAAGTTCAGCCGGACCATGGACCTGTTCGAATACAGCGCCGCCTCCCGCTTGTCCGGGAGACTCTCCAGCACCGAGATGGCTTTGCCTGCAGGCACCAGCTGGCGGAAGAAGGCAGGGGCCGCTCGAGGGAGGGAAGAGGGAGAGGGAGGCCAAAGGGGAACGAGGGGAGAGGAAAGGAAGGGCGCAGGGGAAGCGAGAATCCGCCCTCCTTCCCCCCCTCCCTCCATCCATCTCCTCCTCATGCTTCTGCTCCGCCCCTCCCACCCTCCCCTCTCATCTCCTCCTCCTCCTCCTCCTCCTCCTCCTCCTCCTCCTCCTCCTCCTCCTCTACTTATTCTTCTTATTCTTCTTCTTCATCATATTACTATTGATTTAATGATTATCATTATTTCTCCTCCTCATCATCCTGGCTCCTTCTCCTCCTCCCCTACCCCCACCCCCTCTCATCTCCTCGTCCTCTTCCTCCTGTTCATCCTCATCCCCTCCTCTTCCTCAATCTCCTCCTCCTGCTCCTCTTCTTCTTCCTTCTCCTCTCATCATCATCCTCCTCATCGTGCTCCTCCTCCTCCTCCTCCACCCCCCCTCCCCCTCCCTCCCTCCCCCCCCCTCCTCCTCCTCCTCCTCCTCCCCTCCTCCTCCTCCTCCTGCCTCCTCCTCCTCTCCTGCTCCTCCTCCTCCCTGTCCTCCTCCTCCTCCTCCTCCTCCTCCTCCTCCTCCTCCCCGTTGCTCCTCCTCCTCATCCTCCTCCTCCGCCGGACATGGATCGGATACACGCCGCGCTACCAGCCAGGGCAAGTTGAAGGAGCTGGGCACTGCACGCGCTGCAACGACGGGGCGAAGTCGTTCGCCCAGCGTTCTGTGTCGAAGGAACCGCTGGACGCGTCCTCTCCCGCGACGGGTCACGCCTGCAGCGAGCAGTACTTCATAGGGGACTGCGGTGGAAGCGATGCTGTGTCGGACGTCGAGTTCAATGGCGACACTTACCTTCGCATGCTGGAGAGACGGCTCCGCTTCCAAGACCTGGTCTTCAAGGCTTGGGCGGCGGAGATCAGCAACAAGCAGGGCGTTCTCAAGAAGGGCAAGGAGGGCCTTGAGGGTACCTCAGGGGCTGGAGATGGACCTCACCGCAAGGCGAGGGCCAAGCAGACGCCGGCGGCTGAGGTGCCCTCGACCCTCACCCAGGAGATGTTCGCCGAGATGGGCATGCAGCTGCTAAACCTCCTTGGCAGTGGCAGCGACAAGCCCTCGGAGGTCAAGGCAGCGGCGCTGCTGCAGACCGCTGAGCGCTTGGGCGTCCTTGTCGAGGGATTCCAGGGCGTGAGCGGCAGGGGCAGGCAGGTGCGGTTGGCGTTTCCTCGTCGCCTCGCGGGCTCTGCCTCGGATTCTGGCCCGCGTCTTGTTGGCGGCGTGGGCGGTTTTGCTCGGGGTCTGGATTCCTCGTTCGCCTTGCTGGACCCCGCTCGACGTCGGGCAATGGCTCGGCAACCGCGCCGCGACATTGGTCCGCGGCGCTTTGGCCAGCGCGCCAGCGACCAGAGACACGGACGAAGTCATTAGCACCCTCAGCGCCTCCTCCTCCTCCTCCTCCTCTCCTCCTCCGCCTCCTCCTCCTCCTCCTCCTCCCTCCCTCCCTCCCTCCCTCCCTCCCTCCCTCCCTACCTCCTTCCCGTCCCCCCTCCCTCTCTCCCTCCCTCCTTTTCCCTCCTTTTCCCTCCCTTGCCCTCCCTTTCCCTCCTTTCCCTCCTCCTCTCTCCCTCCCCCTTCCTCCCTCCCTCCCTTTCCCTTTCCCTCCCTTCCTCCCTCCTTCCCTCCTTCCCTCATTCTTCTTCTTCTTCTTCTTCTTCTTCCTCCTCCTCCTCCTCCTCCTCCTCCTCCTGGCGGTCACCGACCACATCCCCCATACCCTGCTATGCCGCCCGGCTCGCCGTAAAGGAGCTCCGCGCTGGGCATGTCCTTCTGGGCGAAAGCGCCTGCGCCGCGGCCGGTGGAGCCCGCCGGCGGCTGCACCCTCCCTGAAGGCAACGCCCCTCGCGCTGAGAGTGAATCATTGACCTTCCTCCTCCTCCTCCTCCTCCTCCTCCTCCTCCTCCTCCTCCTCCTCCTGCTCCTTCAGCTCCTGCTCCTCCTTCTCCTCCTCCTGCTCAACCTGCTCCTCCTGCTCCTCCTGCTCCTCCTGCACCTCCTGCTGCTGCTGATGATGGTGCTGATGCTGATGATGCTGATGCTAATGCTGATGCTGATGCTGATGCTGATGCTGCTGCTGCTGCTGCTGATGATGATGATGATGATGATGATGATGATGATGGTGATGGTGATGGTGATGGTGATGATGATGATGATGGTGATGATGATGTTATTGATGGTGATGGTGATGTTGATGATGATGCTGCTGATAATGCTGATGCTGATGATGATGCCGATGCTGATGCTGATGCTGATGATGGTGCTGCTGCTGCTGCTGCTGCTGCTGATGCTGATGCTGATGCTGATGATGATGATGATGATGATGATGATGATGATGATGATGATGATGATGGTGATGATGATGATGATGCTCCTTCTCCTCCTCCTCCTCCTCCTGCTCCAACTGCTCCTCCTCCTGCTCCTCCTCCTGCTCCTCCGCATCCTACTCCTCGTGCTCCTCCTCCTCCTCGTGCTCCTCCTTCTTCTTCTCCTTCTTCTCCTCCTCCTCCTCCTCCTTTTCCTCCTCCTCCTCCTCCGCCGCCTTATCCTCCTCCTCCCCCCCCCCCTCCCCCTCCCCCTCCCTCCCTCCTGCTCCTCCTCATCTCTCCTCCTCCTCTCCTCGCTCCGCCTCCGCCTCCGCCTCCGCCTCCGCCTCGCTCCTCCTCATGCTCCTCCTCCGCCTCTGCTCCTCCTGCTCCTCCTGCTCTCCTGCTCCTGCTCCTGCTCCTGCTCCTGCCCCTGCTCATCCTCCTCCACCTCCTCTCCTCCTCCTCCTCTCCATCACTTCCTCCCTCCCCTTCCCCTTTCCTCCTCCTCCTCTCCTCCTCTTTCTCCTCCTCCTCATCCTTCCTCCTCCTCCTCTTCCCTCTTCCTCCTCGTGTTCCTCCTTGCCTATCTCCTCTCCATCCTCCTCCTCCTCCTCCTCCTCCTCCGCTCCTCTCATACTCATCCTCGTGCCTCGTACTCGTCTCCTCCTCTCCCCTCCTCCTCCTCCTCCTCCTCACCTCCTCCTCCTCCTCCCTCCCTGCTCCGCCTGCTCCTGCTCCTCCTCCTCTCCTCGCTCCTCATCCGCCTCCTCCTCCTCCTGCTCCTCCTTCTCCTCGACTCCTCCTCCTTCTCCTCCTCCTCCTCCTCCTCCTTTGT